CGGTGATGCACCCTCAAACAACCTCCTAGGAAGCATGCACTACCAGGTGTGTTCTAAAGCAGGCCAAAAGTCAATCAATGACAGCTCAGCAAATTAAATGACATACTTTGTATGGTCCTGACACCAGCAAAATATTAAAATGATAGTGATCAAATATAACACACACATATATTGGAATATATATAGTCAAGAAAAACTGGATTACTTCAGTTGTGGTTCAGATTATATTTAAAAAAACAAAAATAAAAAAAACACACAACCCGGACATATGTAGAGAGAAGTTTTGGTTTAACCTAAATTGTAAGGTTGCCACATGTAAGTTCCAGACAGCCATTGGGGTCTTGCTGCCTTTAGCCCTGTCACGGTCACAGAAGGTAGCTTGTGGTCTGCACTAGGGATCGACCGAATTAGATTTTTTTTACAGCCGATACAGATATTCTGTGATCTTTCAGGCCGATAGCTTACCGATATTCTGTACATTTACCATTTTAAAAAATATATATATTTCTAAAGGTAAATGCATAAAATATACATCTCGTGTAGTGGATGCAGTGTGTTTAGACAGGGGAGCTGTGTTTGTTTGTGTAGTGTGTGTAGTGGATGCAGTGTGTGTGTGTGTAGTGTGTGAAGTGGATGCAGTGTGTATATAATGAATGCAGAGTGTGGGTAGTGTGCGTAAAGTGAATGCTGTATATACTAAATGCAAAGTGTGTATTTGTGTATTGTCTTTATAGTGAATGCAGTGTGTATTTGTATAGCGTGTATATAATGCAGTGTGTTTGTGTAGTGTGCATTATATACACACACACTACACAAACTGCATTATATACACAGTGTGTATGTGTAGTGTGTTTATATAATGCAGTGTTGTTTGTGTAGTGTGCATTATATAACCTCTTCAGGACCGTCAGCGGTAAAACGTGCGTTTGTACCGCTGACGGTCCTGAACCGTCCTAGCGAAAAACGGGCTGCGGGAAGCGATCAAAGATCGCTCCCGCCAGTATAACACTGTAACTATCTGCCAGACATCCCAGGCAGATAGTAACAGTCAATTGCGGTGTGTGAGCGATCCGCAATCGCTCACAATTGGCTGCTGTCAAAGTGGGTGTTACAAACACTCACTTTGACAGTGATCTCTGCCCCTCTCTCCTCTGTAGCGTTTTGTGAGGCAAAAGAGAAAGATCGTGATAGTTTGTTGCAGCAGAGGTGTTCCAGAGCTTTATACAGTATCTCAAGTGAATAAAAAAAATCCCTTTTAACCCCTTCCCTGCCAGATCTGTTACAGCAGTGCATTTGTACTATTTTTTTTTGCCCTTAAAGGGTTAAATTGTTTTAAAAATCTGTGTCTTGGTCAGTCAGTTTCCTTCCCCCAAATCTCCATTAGATTTTTGTGACAGGAGTTAGTTTAGGGATTGCGGTTTAGTCTGTTTTAGTTTAAAAAAAAAAGTATTACAAATGTGTGTGTTTGCAATTTGTTTTAGTCGTGTGTAAAACATGCAGCCTATGTATAACTTGCAGGAGGCATATGCCTTCTTGGCGTCAGACTGACGCCACTGACACTGCGTCAGATTTTGACACAGGTCAGTTTTCTGACACGTCTAGTCAAGACGACATGTCATCTGTGTGTGAGCCGGCTGAAGAAAGAAGCTGTGCTTCCTCTGATACGCCAAATGTGGAGGAGGACTGGGTACCTCCACAGTTAACCGAGCCCAACGTCCCCCCTTTTAGTGCCAACAAAGGCATTAATGTTAATGTGGATGGCTTCTCCCTAATGCAGTATGCAGAACTATTTTTAGGGGATACCATCTGGAAGGAGATTGCTTCCCAGACTAACTTGTATGCTACCCAATTTATTGATAACAATCCAGGTAGCTATACAGTCAGTGAGCATGACTGGCATCCCACAGATGTCCCAGAGCTTAAAAAATTCTGGGCTCTTACAATGCTCATGGGGATTATAAAGAAGCCATCGATTCGCTCATACTGGAGCACCAACCCAATAATGTCTAGTCCAGTATTCTCCCAAACCATTCCTAGAGCCAGATACAAGTTACTGCTGAGATTTTTACATTTCAGTGACAATACCCTCTGTCACCCTAGAGATCACCCCCAATATGATAGGCTTCATAAAATACGCCCACTGCTAGACCATTTTCAGGACAAATTTTCAGATGTTTATACCCCCCAACAAAATTTATCCATAGATGAATCTCTAATGAAATACAAAGGGAGATTAGGGTTCAGACAATACATCCCCTCAAAGCGCTCTAGGTATGGCATAAAACTGTACAAACTGTGCGAGAGCGAAAGTGGATACACGTTTGCCTTTCATGTATATGAGGGGAAAGATGGTCAACTGGACCCTCCTGGCTGTCCTGACTCCCTGGGGACAAGTGGGAAACTTGTATGAGACCTACTAAACCCCTTGTTTAATAAAGGTTACCACCTTTATGTGGATAATTTTTATAGTAGTGTCCGTCTGTTTAAAACACTTTATGGTTTACAGACACTGGCCTGCGGCACTGTTGCCGGGTCTGTTTTAAAAACGGGAAAAGGACAGACACCCCTTTTCACTGTCCTGATTGCCCTTCGAAACCAGGACTGTGTGTAGGAACATGTTTCAAGCTGTACCACACAGAACAGTTGTAAGAAGTGTTCCTGAATTTTTATTTTTATTTCTTAGTTTCTTTGGACAGCAGCCATTTTTTGATAGTCAGTTTCCTTCCCCCAAATCTCCAGTTAGATTCTATTTGCAGGAGTCAGTTTAAAGATTGCTGCTAAATGTACATTTGCTACCTGCACATTTGGTCTAACAAGTTTTCTGGCAGTAACACATAACCAGCTGGCCAAAACCAGATGACGTGTGCATAAAAATCAGAATTAAAAATTTACCACTACGCTTTCTTTGGGGGGCAAAATGGTTGGGGGAAAGAAGTCAAAACACCCTATCTTCTATAACCTTTGATGTCTACTTTATAAAAATATATACTATATATACTGTCACTGTAGTAATATTAACTGGGGGTGCAAAAATGTCAAACTGAAGATAGACCAAGCATAACTATATATCAAGTTGAAAAACTGACATGTACAAGTTCTGATTGTTGCCTTTTGGCCCCAAACAACCCAGCAACCCTATACATGGGGGGTATCACTGTACTCAGGAGATGTTGAACATATTGGGCAGTGTTTGGCAGTGACACAACAGGATCTGTTAATTCATGCCTAAAGTACAATGTGTGTGACAAAGAAACAAAAAAAGATTACTACCCAAAAGTTTGACAAAGGCTGGTGGTAGAATTCAGTGCATGAAAAAAGTGTTAAAATATCACCATGTGAAATACCCTAGGGTGTCTACTTTTCAAAAATATATGGTTTGATGGGGGTAAAATACATTGGCCGGCTTCAAAAATGTCCCAAATAGGACATGCATGCAGGTTGACTACATGTCAAAATTCCAAGCTGGGAAACGGATATGCGCACCTGCAAAATGTGGCCTTTTAGCCCCCAAACAACACGACACACCTATACATGGGGGGTATCCCTGTACTCGGGAGATGTTGCTGAACACATATTGGTGTGTTTGGTAGTGACACCTAACAGAATCTGTGAATTTATACCTGAATTGCAATGTATGTGAAAAAAATTAAGAAAAACTACCTATGCAAAGTTTGGCAAAGGTTTGTGGTAAAATGGCTGCATAGAAAGTATCACAATATTATTAGATGAATATCCTGGGTTATCTAGTTTAAGAAAAATATATACATGTGGGGTGTTTTTTTTGGAGATTTATGACATAACAGTGTTACAATGTCACTATTGATACATTTGAAAAATGTACATTTTGAAACAGCAATTTCCTACTTGTACTTATAGCTCTATAACTTGCAAAAAAAAAAACATTGGGTGTTTTTAAACTCATGACAACATTTTGAATCTAGTTAGCAGTTTGTTTCATTCGATTTTGTAGATCAGTAAAAGATTTTTTAATTTTTCACCATATATTATTATTATTTTTTAATTAAATTATATGACATGATAAAAATAATAGTATGTAAAGAAAGCCATTTTTGTCCTGAAAAAAAACCAATATATAAATTTGTATCGGAACAGTAAATGAGAGAGCGGAAAATTACAGTTAAACACCACAAAAGTGTTAAAATAGCTCTGGTCCTTAACGCACAAACATCGCAAAAACAGTCCGGTCCTGAAGGGGATAAACACACTGCATTATATACACACGCACACACTACATTATATAAACACACTGCATTATATACACACAGTGTTTGTGTATAATGCAGTGTGTTTGTGTAGTGTGCATTATATAAACACTGCATTATATACACGCACTACACAAACACACTGCATTATATACACAGTGTGTTTATATAATGCAGTGTGCATTATATAAAAACTGCACAAAAACACTACATTATATACACAGTGTTTGTGTAGTGTGTCTTTATAGTGAATGCAGTGTGTTTATTTGTATAGCGTGTACATAATGCAGTGTGCATTATATACACACACTACACAAACTGCATTATATAAATATATGTAAATAATGCAGTTTGTTTGTGTAGTGTGCATTATATAAACACACTGCACAAACACTGCATTATATACACAGTGTGTTTGTGTAGTGTGTATTATATAAACACACTGCATTATATACACACACAACACAAACAGTGCATTATATACAGTGTGTTTGTGTAGTGTGTTTATATAATGCAGTGTGTAGTGTGCATTACACACACACACACACACACACTACACAAACACACTGCATTATATACAGTGTTTGTGTAGTGTGTGTATATAATGCAGTGTGCATTATATACAGTGTTTGTGTAGTGTGTGTATATAATGCAGTGTGCATTATATAAACACACTGCATTATATACACACACACACACACTACACAAACACACTGCATTATATAAACACTGCATTATATACACAGTGTTTGTGTAGTGTGCATTATATAAACACACTGCATTATATACACACTACATAAACTCACTGCATTATATACAGTGTTTGTGTAGTGTGTATATAATGCAGTGTGTTTGTGTAGTGTGCATTATATAAACACACTACACAAGCACTGCATTATATAAACACACTGTTTGTGTAGTGTGTTTATATAATGCAGTGTGTTTGTGTAGTGTATATAATGGAATGTGTGTTTGTGTATGTAATTGAGGGAGCATTTTTTGTGAAAACTTTTTTTTATTTTTGTCCTCCCTCCCTGCTTGTTACCTGGCCAGGGAGGGGGACTATGGCACTCCCTGGTGATCCAGTGGCATGTACTGAGCAGTGGGGGCCCGCAGGTAGCGTTTACTTACCTTTTCAGCAGCTCCTGCAGCTTCCCAGTGTAAATCTCGCGGCCTGTGTTCCGTGCGGAGTGTTGCCATGGTAACCAGTGGCAACGCTCTGATGGCCGCGGGTCTCGCAAGATTTACACTGGGGAGCTGGAGGGAAGGTAAGTAAATGCTACCTGCGGGCCCCCAACTGGTCCTGTTATATATTATCGTCAATATCGGTATCTGAATTGGCAGATACCGATATTGCCGAAAATACAGAATATCGGCCAGACCGATAATCTGTCGATCGCTAGTCTGCACCTCTGGCAAATGCAGACCCCAGTAATCACTTCATCGCGGTCCCACGCACACTAATGAGTTAGAGCACTGGAAGCGCAAGGGAGCGATTACTGTGGTCTCCACCTGGAGGGGCAGACCACACACTCCCGCACTGAGCCATAGTGATCACAGACATCCTTCTGGCAGAAACCTAAGCAGGGGGTGGGCTAAACATTACATGTAGTCAGATCACACCATATGCACATTACACAGAGCCATAATACGCATACATGCGGTTAGAGCCAGCAAACACCACACACTATAGGTTCTCACTATAGGGAGAACAGAGAGTGAGAATCAGGTTTATTCACTAAACTCAGAATTTTCACAAATTAAAGGAACACTCCACACACCTGAAGCACTTTAGCTTGCTGGAGTGTGTCCTATGTGCGCAGGAGTGTGTCCTATGTGCGCAGGATGACACACAGCCTCCATGAAAAAAAAAAAAAAAAAGGTTTAAATGTTACAACAGTATGTGCTTCCTTGAGAATTTCCAGTTCTGTTAAGTGAACTTTGAAATAACACTCCTCCCCTCGGTTTCCTTGTACCTCCTGCCTGCCCTTCTATGCTTCACAAAGCAGAGTGCACCTGTACTATAACACCAAGTGAGTAATCCATTACTCTGTTCCCATACTCCCCTGTCAAATTGCAAATTTAGGCCCAAGGACTAATTAAAGCAAACTAATACAAGAGAGGCCTGTCTAATATCAAACCAATCCCACCGGAACAGGTGGTCCATATCCAATATGCTCTGCACAAAAGAAACCCCAGACAATTGTTTTGGTCATTTTGGTAAGATTTTCCCCAATGACTTGTACCAGTTTCAATGAAAGTACACAAGGTTTGGGAGCAAAAACAAATGCATTCCCCACTCTTGCTTCATAATTACTTCAATAACACTTTGGGCAGCTCACAAAGCGGTCATTCAAGGCAAGCTTATCAGTTTAGCCTCGACCAAAAAAAAAAAAAAAAACACTCAAAAGCTCCTGGAAGCAATGACAGAGCTCAAACGTCTAGAAACCATTAATAAATGACAAGCCAACCCCTCACATTTTAAACGTCTTACTGAGACTTACTGAAAAGCCTCTCCCTAACTGACATTTCCAAGGCTATGATGTGGACTAAGGAAAAAAAGCAAAAAAGAATTCTATGTTAGCACATCGCCTCAAAAATCACACTAGACTCACAGACTAGAGAGGTCTTTCAAAAATACTTCAATAACTTGTATAACCATTTGCCGGACTCACTAAACAAGCGCTGTCCACAATCCATTTCAGACTCCCCTCTCTTTCAGAATAGGCAAAATCAGCACTAGAGTCGACAGTCCAAGAGTTAGCTGCTGCTCTAGGTTCCTTCAAGCCCAACAAGAGCCCTGGTCCCGACGTTCTATTACAAAAAACTTTCCATGACTTACTCCTACAATGTCTTTGTGCAGTTTTTAATTAACTTTTACGAAGGGAAAATTTTCCCTCTGACATGGTAAGGACCTTAGCAAACCCATACACTTTAGACCCATTTCCTTAAATAGTTTACCTCAAACCAATAACAAAAGTCATGACCAACAGACTCAACCCACATCTAGAACACTTCATAAACCCTGACCAAGTTGGCATCACGCCGAACGGGCAGGTCTCAAACACTCAACACACCATAGGCTTAATCTGCCACGCCAATCACAAGAACATCCTGATGGCTGTGGTCTCGCTAGACAAAAAGTGCATTTAACAACCTCCTTTGGCCATATCTCTGCGTCTTAGACCACTTTGGCTTTTCATGTGGAATTCCACTATTTTCTTCAGGCCACCTATCACAAAGCCCTCCTCATAGACATCACCCCTCCCCCTTTTCCCATTTAAAACAGTACCAGGCAGGGTTGTCCACTCTCCCCTCTCCTATTCACCATTTCTCTTGAACCACTAGTATAGGCGATCCACTCCATCCGGGAGATGGCGGTTTTCACAAATCGGGAGGGAACACTTTAGTAGCAGCCTGTAGCACCACTTTAATATGAAGAATATCCTCTTAACAATTACTAACCCTGTATCTTGCCAGGAATCTCTTCTAGAATTACTTCGCAATTACTCATCATTCTCAGGCTACAAATTAAACCTCACCAAATCAGACTTATTACCAATAAATATAGTTTAGGATATCATTAAATGCATACACAACTCCTTCCCTTTTCACATCTGCTATTCATCTCGAAAATATGTCAGCATCCAACTGGCATGACACTTCCACTCTATATAGCACCAATTTTACTTTGACAGTGGCACCTATTGCCTGGGGGGGGAAAATATGGGTAGATTTAGAGCACCTGGTCTTTGGATGGAATCAACCCTTTATATTTGGCTCCTCAAACAACACAGAAACTCCCTCCTGCACCTCACCCACAATCACATGCTCAATTGACCTTTGGGACCCGTTGAAAAATAAATATGACTTATTTTCATTCTTGTCCCCATTATCCCCTAATCTCCGTAGAAGACAGTTCATTCCCAGCATCACTCCACAACACTTTTCCCACTATGAGGATAGGGACATTATGATAATAGGCCACCTGTTTCCAAATGGGAAAACAGAAGATACTGATTTGCCGGACCACACTACACTCACTATTTTTGATTCTTACAACTGAGGAGCTTCGCTTTCTCCCAATTGGTAAGACAGGTAGGGACGGCTCCCCTAACTGCCTTTGAATTAGACAGCATACACTCGCCTACAAGAAAAGGTCATATTTCCTTTTTCACACATCCCATCTTAGGCTCCCACACATAGCAGGTTGGGAATCGGATCCCATAGGAGGATTCATCGGACTGGTCCAACATATGGGAGAGCACTGCCTCCCTTACCATCTGTGTAGGACATCTTGAACAGTCATACAAAATGTTATTTAGGTGGTACTTATCCCTCAGCATCTGGCATCCATGAGAATACTCCCTACAAACTTATGCTGGTAACAGTGTGGTGAAGCTGGATCCTTTCTTTACGAGTGGTAGAGTTGCCCTAAACCCCCTTGGGAAAGCATAACAACTAGACTCTCCAGACTCCATTGTAAACCATTCCCACTCGATCCTTGGGCCCTGTTACTTTCTAAACTCATTGACTCCTTTAAAAAGGTGTTTTTACTCACTTTTTTGCACACCATGCTGGCCTCGCCGAAACTGGCCTCACTTGCATTGGCTGAGTTCATTTATCTTGAGGATTTCAGCCAATCCAATGCTTTCCCACAGGAAAGTAGCGGGAAGCAAATTGCGCATGTGCAGCAAAATGCCATACTGAGCCAATCAGCATCACCTCATATAGATAAATTGTAACAATGCATCTCTGTGGGGAACGATCAGCGCCTCTATGCAGAGCATGGAGACACTGTATGTAGGTGCTGTACACTGTGCAGAACTGGACTGGGACGCAGCTCTAGTGGCCGTCTGTCACAAGAGGTGCTACTAGACAGCAATATAAAAAAAAAATTATTTTTCTCTGAATAGGCAGTGTTTACATTGAAATGTTGGCAGGAACAGACTATAAACACCAGAACCAGTACAATAAGCTGTAGCGGTTCTGGGGACTATAGTCTCCCTTTAAAAACTGTTTTTTTTATTGTTTAAATAAAACGATCAGTTCTGGGGGGGAAAAAAAATCAATCCTGGCTGCTAACATTTTTAGATTTAAAGCAAATTTGTTAACCCTGTGTTCATGGCTAGCTAGGCAAAGATGCCATAGTTTTGAGTGCAGCCGGAATATATACATTGTAGAAATAAGCCAATACACATATTGTGCAAATAAATAAAATGTTAGGGTAAATAAGTGCATTCCTACCCTTCCTTCAGTGACATCATGTTATACTGTATTTGTACTTTTTAGCAATTTTAAATAGTAGGTAGATCCCTGTCACTTGTATATAAAAAGGCAAATTAAAGGGTAACTCAAAGCACCATGAATACGTCAGTGACTTGAAGTGGTCATGGTGACTGGAGTTTGTACGTGAAGCATTTTGCTTTGAAATGCTGTACACATGGAGTTTAACTCCACTGCTGCCAGACCTCCTTCAGATGCAAACTAATAACGAATGAGTTCCTGACTGGCTAATGTCAATTCTGTGCATATATAATTCTGCATTCATTTACAGAGAGCAGTCATCCAACACCAATGAATGGCCACCGGGATCAACTTCCGGCTTCTGCAGCTCTGGCCGCTGACAGATCATAGGCACCTGGCAAGTACCCATATAAAACAGGGCCAGGGTGTTCCTGGCATCATAACCACTATTTTGGGAGCAACCCTTTAAAAGGACCACTATAGTGCCAGGAAAACAAACTTTATTTCCCCCAGGTCACCATAGTTAACATGGACAATATTTACTAGGTGTGCTTTTGTGGTTATACCATGCCAGGGCAAGCTGTCAAACCGTTTACAGTTTAACACTTATCTAGCTCGGTCAGCCAA